ACTCAGCATGTGTCTGAGACGCTGGTCTTCCGTGGTTACCTTAGAAAGTAGGGATGAGAGTATGAATTAGCCACGCTACTTAGAAAAAAATGGGTGCGTGTACTTATGTAGGCGCGTGAGAAGTTATCCTTTTTTGGCATCGTTTAAAATTAGTTTTTAATTTGCATGCAAATAATTAATTACAATAAATTAATAAAAAGTCTGGAAAAGGACACAGTCAATAAAGTTCAGTTTTAATTTGAAAAAATAAATAAATAATTAAAATATTCAATTAAAATCGCTACTGAATATAATTTATTAGAACATATGTGATTTGCACTTGTATGAAACTCAAACACGTATTCCGAATATATAAACTAGAAACATGTGGATAAATATTATAAATATGAATACCTATAACTGTTACTTTATTACAAAAAATAAAGATGTGTTTTTTGGTTCTACTACACCAATGGTCAAGAGATGGCGCTGTAGTCTCCTGAATCGCGCTTTGGTTCCGTTGTTCCAGATTAATAAATACTTTTGATAGGCCTTCACAATGCAGTCGTTAGCACCCACTAAATAGAGATTCTATTTCTATTTTGCTAAAGCGACCAACTTCATGCTGTTAAAATTTTGTGTTACAGTGATGCGCGCGCATCTTAAAATTTCACTCTCATCATATTTTCATAACGCGCCTAAAGAAGTATAACTTCAAAAAATATTATAAAGTTTTACAGATACCAGGGAAAAAGTGTAGCGTGTTATTTCTCGGTCTCAAATCAACCCAGTGAAGGTTTCAGAAGGAATTTATTTAGTATTTTATTTCAAACCTACAAAACGCCGCCACACGTCACTCGCGCAATACACCACCCCTCTCTCCCTTGCCTTAGTCGGCCACTGTCGCGCGCTTTAACCACTTTAGTAGCAGCTTCTAGCTTCTCGTGGCGGCGTTTGTAGCTGTGGCATGTGGCCCGTGTGCGGCGACACTAAACCTCGATGTATTTTCGGGCGACCTAATCTCTTATCTATTAGACAAGTCCGTCTGTCTGTGGTGCTGTTTCAGCGGCCAAACCGTAAGAGATAGATAAAGAGAATATTTAAGTTATAAGTTAAGAATAGTCTGATAAGACTTCAAACCGGATTTGAGTAACGTAGCACTTCCGGTTTTCGAGAAATCAGGTTTTGGTGAACATTTGGTTCACTGGTTTGCTAGTATTATTATAATTAGAAATGAATAAGAAACATAACAGTAAGAAACCGTAAGACAGTAAGACCCACAGGATGATAATGAAAACTATCGTACTCCTTTTTTTAAAAGAACATTTTCTTTTTCATGTGAGATTTCGCATAAGTAAACTTTATAGAGGAGCTCGATGGCGCAAGTGGTTAGCGCGTTCGGCTGCGATCGTTGAATTTAAGCAACTTTCGCAGTGGTCGGTCATTGGATGGGTGACCAAAAATCTTCTATCTCGAGTTCCTCCGTGCTTCGGAAGGCACGTTAAGCCGTTGGTCCCGGCTGCATCTGCAGTCGTTAGCACCCGCCAATCCGCACTGGGCTTGCGTGGTGGGTCATGGCCCAATCTCCCTATTCCATCCATTGGGAAGGCCTGTGCCCCAGCAGTGGGAACATTAATAAGTTGATTATGATCATGATTTAAATACTAGTGGTATGTGTAAAATGTTCATTTTATTAGTGTACACCTTCACGATATAAAGTTTCATCATCATCAAAGAGATTGGGCCGTTACCCACCACACTGCCCAGTGTTGATTGGCGGCGGTGCTTACGACTAGCTACCCTAGGGGTACTGTATAGCTAACGGCAAACATCTTGAGTGAAAAAGACAAATACCCTTGAGTAGTAGACGGTTTTGTGTCTATGGTCATTGCACAAGTTGTTGCCAAGTTATATACCATACTAGCTGACTCGGCGAACTTCGTACCGCCCAAAAGTAATAATTCCAATAAATTAAAATTGCGACTATAATTTGAGATTTAAACTATCCTATCTCTCAAGTTGGATCGAACTGCACATGGTGTGCGAATTTTATTATAATCGGTTCAGTGGTTTAGGAGTCCATTGAGGACAAACATTGTGATACGAGATTTATATATATTAAGACTAGCTGACTCGGCGAACTTCGTACCGCCCAAAAGTAATAATTCCAATAAATTAAAATTGCGACTATAATTTGAGATTTAAACTATCCTATCTCTCAAGTTGGATCGAACTGCACATGGTGTGCGAATTTTATTATAATCGGTTCAGTGGTTTAGGAGTCCATTGAGGACAAACATTGTGATACGAGATTTATATATATTAAGACTAGCTGACTCGGCGAACGTCGTACCGCCCAAAAGTAATAATTTGCAATAAATTAAAATTGAGACTATAATTTGAGATTTAAACTATCCTATCTCTCAAGTTGGATCGAACTGCACATGGTGTGCGAATTTTATTATAATCGGTTCAGTGGTTTAGGAGTCCATTGAGGACAAACATTGTGACACGAGATTTATATATATTAAGAAGATAAGTCATACAATATTTCTTTTTACTTTCACAGAAGGCCGCCTTCAAGTAATGCGTAAGCTGAATTTCATTTTTTTTTACCTCGCCCTTCTCCCTCCTATTCAGCCAAAGTAAGTATCTTCTTTTTTATCGGCTAATTCTTGGGAAATAATAGGCTGAATAGTACTAATGCGTGATCCTAATTGGCAACGACAGGACGATGACGAGCTGTGATGACATACGGAGCCGAGACGTGGACACTGACGGTACGGCTGGTCCACAGGTTCAAAGTCGCTCAACGCGCTATGGAAAGAGCTATGCTCGGCGTTTCTCTGAAGGATCGCATCAGAAATGAGGTAATCCGGCAGAGAACCAGAGTTATCGACATAGCCCACCGGATTAGCAAGTTGAAGTGGCAGTGGGCTGGCCATATTTGTCGAGAACCGATAACCGTTGGGGTAGACGAGTTCAGGAGTGGAGACCGCGTCTAGGCAAACGTAGTGTAGGACGTCCTCAGGCGCGATGGAGTGACGATTTGCGCAAGGTGGCTGGCAGGAGCTGGATGCGAGTAGCCCAAGATCGATCTAAGTGGCGTGCATTTGGAGAGGCCTATGTCCAGCAGTGGACTAAGATAGGCTGTTGATGATGATGATGTACAATGACGCAATGCGTTCTCGTCGTGAGATGTTTTTCACAGATTTCTCCAGAAGTGTCCTTGTTTCACAGATTTCTCCAGAAGTGCGCCTAAGTGTCGAAGCACACGGGCCACCGACCACCGACCACAACCACAAAACGCCGCCACCGGCATTTTTCTTGTAGGTTTCATACATTTTATATGGACTCGTCACATACGGTACGTCGGTGGCCGCCACACGCTACAAATCGTCGTTGCTCGCTTCTTGTGGCCCGCACCGGCCACTTAATGCGCCAATACAAAACGCCGCCACACGTCACTCGCGCGATTCCCCACCCCTCTCTCCCTTACCTTAGTCGACCGCTGTCGCGCGCTTCAGCCACTTTGGTAGCCGCTTCTAGCTTCTCGTGGCGGCGTTTGTGGCTGTGGCGTGTGGCCCGTGTGCGGCGCCACTTAGTCGGCCGCTGTCGCGCGCTTCATCCACTTCAGTAGCCGCTTTTAGCTTCTCGTGGCGGCGTGTGGCGAGATGCCCGTGTGCGGCGACACTAAGACGTCGCACGAATACAGGGCTTTCTAAATAACGATTGTACGAAGGGGTTTTTCGTACGATTATGTAATAAAATACTTTTGAATTATTAATTTTGAATGTCCTAATTGGTCGCCAGTCATTGCACCCGTGGGGCATGGGACATTTAATGTTAAAAGCGTACTCTTTCCTTAAAGGCCGGCATCGAATTCGTGATACTCCTGGTGTTGGTGAGCCGTCAGCTCCTATGTTCATATAATACAAAAAAAAATGCTCAAATTCGATTTGATTGCAACGTTTTATTACAGTTTCTATGGTCACTTTGCGTCTCCTCTCCATCATCAGATCACCTCCAAGTATTGTCCGATTAACATAATATGTGCATATTCAATATTTCAGCTCTATCGAAAATCGGTAAGTAGGTCAAGTTTAAATTACAAGCTTTGAGAGACATAAAAACGAAGGCTGAGCACAGAGTCACTTGAGTCACACTGGGGTTGCCAAATGGCCGGGATTTCCGGGAATTTGTCCCGGAATTATATTACCCGCGTCCATTTATTACACCTTTACAATTGTCCCGGATTCCGATAACGAATGACACCTGCCTGATGTTTTAATTGTGGGGGGTGATGGAGCGTTTTATTTGATGCTTTAATTTTTGGCCTGGAATTTAATGGCCCTAGTAACAACAGTTGTAAGACAATCTTGCCTCACATAGACAAAACAACTTTAAAGAACAATGCCAAGTGTCCATAGCAACTTTGGCTTAATATAAAATAATCACAAACAGCAATGAATGAAAAAGTTTTATACTGTGTAGTTTAATAACTAAAACATTTCCAGAACAGTAAAAATTCTACAGAACTTTTAACAAGAAAATACTTAGATAATACAAATATGGAATTTTAAGGTTATTTCAATTTCACGATCAACGTGACAGAGTGGCTTCCATACGGATTTTCATGGTGTCGCCATATCTGGGTTCCCAGGTTAGCTCCTCTTTCTCATTAATCCAGTAAAGTAACCGTTTTACACTGTCTCGGGTCTGCGTTTGAGGTATCTAGGTAGGTCTTTACTAGTTGGTAGACTAATGCTGGTATTTTATATGCGCATTGTGGTAGACCCAAAATAGGGTCGTCTGGGTAGGTAATTAAAATTAGTAATACATTTATACGATTATTCTAATAATTTTAATGAATGCAAAAAACGACTTTTTCTGTTTTCTGATTAGTGTCATTTACTGTTGCTGTATTCCTTTAAGTTATCACAAGGCCTATGAATGCCAGTGCGTCGTCTCGGAACTCTATACCTCTCTCTTTTTATTGTAATAAATCAGAGAGTACCAAAATGGCAACTCCATTTATTTTTGTTAGATTTCCGGTCAGCTACTTGTTTATTAATAAATTAATTCTATTGGGTAAGTTCTCGAAATAAATTAATGCAATTTTAAACTTTCGAATTGTTTATGTTATTTGTTGTATGTAAAAGACACGTTTCCGTGCCATTTTATAATTAAAAGTTTTGTAAGCCAGAACCTGGCATTGTTCTTTAAATAGAAACATTTGTGTTTACCACGTGGCGAAGCTGTTTTGTCTACGATATCATCAATAATGGATTTCACCGAAGCTGTTGTTATAAGCATCGTATTTACACGTGCAGCACACACGCACTCACAATACAACTCTTTTGAAGCGTCCACATTCTTTTCCCTTCCACCAGTTAAGGACATTCATTTCATTTAGCCGTGGAGAAAAGCGTAAAGACCTTCACAGCGATTTTATATAACAATATTTACAAAATTATTTACCTGATTTCAGGTATACCCAGTAAGTAATCAATTTAATATAATATATAAAAATATATGAAATGTTTTTATTAATTAAGAATTTGATGGCTTCTTCCAAGTTTTTTACTCTCAAATCCTCGAACATTTGGAGAAAAATTTGTTTTTATCCCGAATCTTATAATCATCTTAAAAGAGCTATTTTTTTTTTGCGAAACGTCAATAAATAAATAAATCAATGAATCTATACCGTTGAAACTTGTTTTATTTAATGATTGGTGTGCGTGAAAAACTAAGAATCATAGTCTTATAGTCCAGTTTAACTGCTATTTGTCTGAATTTAAAAAAAAAATACTAGGGAAAAATCTATGCGGTCCAGGCAGCAGACGAACTGCGTGGTTTCTAGTAAATTTTTTCTTTGGATTTAAACATTTAATACTTTCTTCCAGAGGACTCCATTTATGAACATGTCCCCACACTCACTGTGACGGATAATAATTACATTACGATACCACCGCGGCCTTTGCGCATACCGTGCGGTTATAAATTCGATGGAGTTTGGAGGGAAAGGGACCCTTTCAGCCGCAAAAAGGTTGGTTATTGAATGAATGAATGAATGAATGAATGAATGAATATTCTTTATTGCACTATTTAACAAAATATATACAATATAAAACTCAAGGAATACAAACACAAAAGGCGGCCTTATTGCTAAGGTAGCAATCTCTACCAGGCAACCTTTGGCTAAATGAAATCATACCATGAATAAAGAAGAAACAGCGGGCTAGTGCATTTTAAAAATAAAATAAAATAGACGTCAATATAAGAATATAAAAATAGTAAACAATATATAAGGAAGTTATAAAATATAATACAGAGTAACTAACAGTTATGTTTATTAATTATGTTATTAACAAGAACACTGACCATTAGGGTTACCAGATGCTGGCTTATCAAATCCGGGACAATTGCACCCCCAAAATTGCAATAGGGGGAGGGGGGTGGGCTAAATAAATAAAGCATCAAATCCAAAACCCCCATGACCCCCTAGAATTAAAACATCAAGCAGGCCAGCGGTGTCATTCGTTATTAGTTTATTTTGTTAAGAAACTAGCACATTATCGGGATCTGGGACAATAAGGTCTAATTACTAGACACGGGGAGGATGCAAAATTCCGGGACTATCCCGGATTTCCCGGATTTTTTTCATCTGGCAAGCCTACTGACCATGCTTACATCATCAGCCTATTAATGTCCCCACTACTGGGGTACAGGCCTTATCTATGGATGGAACAGGGAGATTGGCCATGACCCACCACGCGGGCCCAGTGCAGATTGGTGGGTGCTAACGACTGCAAATGCAGCCGGGACCAACGGCTTAACGTGCTTTCCGAAGCACGGAGGAGCTCGAGATAGTAAATTTTTGGTCACCCATCCAATGATCAACCACTGCGAAAGTTGCTTAACTTCAACGATCGCAGCCGAACGCGCTAACCACCTGCGCTATTGAGCTCCTCACCATGCTTGCTTTTTATAAACTTGATATCAGCTGTCCTTGTCATTCCTTGTAAAGCAAGATAAGGACACACTGATGTTAAGTTTACAAATAGCAAACACAGATAGCCAAGTGAACTTCACATCTCCGTAATCGTATCGTCATTGTCAAATTTTGTGTGGAAAGAGCCAGTTTGTTTTTACGTCCGATAGGGGCACTTCCTAGTTTTCATAGAAATTTTGACGATGCGATACGATTACGGAGCATATACATTACTTATTTGTCATAGCATTACTTCTATGATTTAGTATTTGTTCTGGAGCTCTTACCGCTCTTTACAACACTAATATTATAAAGGCGAAAGTTTGTGAGTGTGTATGTTTGTTACTTCTTCACGGCTTGACGGCTGGAGCGATTTTTTGGATTAACACATAGGCTATGTTTTACTGCGGAAAAATATTCATACTAAACCTAAATATATGAATTCAACTTAAAACTGTGAGAGAATGGCTGTAAGTGTGACGTCACCGTGTACTCTCTCTGCTTAAGGTTACGTAGATACCTTGTGTTTGCACAGTCGATCTGATATAAAAATAGGATTTGATAGAACTGTATTTTTAAAGAGAAAGTACTTCGCAACATTGTGAAGTGAGACTTCTTTACGCACGCTTTACTTGGGGGGTAAGCTAAAGCATAATAATAATTTTCATAACGCGTAACGAATGCGTTACGCGTTATGAAAAGTTGTTTTGGGATATAGGCAAGAGAAAGCAGTGCGCGCGCACATTTTCTGGCTCCCTTTCTCTTATAGCTAGTAAATGAAATGTGTATATGTACATAAATGTATATATTGTACACACACATATATACAGTGTAAATATATATACCTACACAGACAGATGGAGCTAAAGAAGTTTCACTTCAGTCGTGTGTTCATAAGCACACTCGTTTTTTATTACATCCAAAAGTCCATCCAAATATTTTTTATTAAGCCAAAGTACTTAACATCAACTAAATAATAGGTCTTTACCTATGAAATTGCCGTCCTGCCGTACTAGCTATTTCAAGTTCATTTTTTTCTTTTTTTGCTAAGATATCCAAATTATTTTTAAAATAAGGAATTGTTTTGTTGGAAATTAGTCATTTTTTTCATGGTAACCGTTCTGTTTTCAGCGCATTTGTACGTTTATATTTTTTGCATGAGTAATTGCTTTGATTAATAAAAATAAAAAAATATCGAAAAAAGTGCCTTAACTTCTTTCATGAAAAACGGCAATTTCATAGGTAAAGAAGGACCTTATGATTACATAATTATTTATTTTATATATCTATATAATATGAAACTCAAAGGTGACTAACTGACTGACATAGTGATCTATCAACGCACAGCCCAAACCACTGGACGGATCGGGCTGAAATTTGGTATGCAGGTAGATGTTATGACGTAGGCATCCGCTAAGAAAGGATTTTGATCTATTCGGGTAGAATTGATTATCCAAGGGGATAAAATAGGGAATGACAGTTTGTATGAAACTTTGTCAATTTTAAACCGATCGGGCTGAGACTTTGCATGCAGGTATAAGAAGAATCATAGATGAATGTCATTGTGTATAATACAAGCCTGAGAACAAAAACTGTAGTCTACACTTCAGCTCTACACCGAAGCGAAGCGAGGGCGGGCCGGCACTTTCAAAGTTACACTTGCAATGCGGCGTGGTTTTACCCACAATTTTATTTCATTTATAAACACCATTTCATTTTATTTTATCGACAGAGTCGTAAGAAGTTTGATGCCAACGAAACGATCAGTATTAACAGCAATACCGCACTGAGAAGCGGAGATGCTGTTGATAAAGGCAGTATGGTTAATACGGATATCAGGGTGAGTTCCTAAAAGTATATTAGGTCTCTCTTCAAGTTTCATCCGTGTTAAGAATCCTCGCTTACTAGACGCGCAACCTTAGCCGCAGAAGATACGGTTGGGCTACGGCCAAACTAGGATAACCAACTTTTTTTCTATCAAATATAGTATTTTCGAAGCGTTACTTCTAAAAATATAGTAGCTGGCAAAAAAATATAATATGTGGTTAAAATATGTTATTTTTGAAATAAATATATTTTTGCTGCTCTTTGCCTTACTAATAATATAATAATAAATTCTCTGAAATATATATTAATTATTAATAATAATTTCTCTAATGAAGGTTTTCAAATACCTCAAGCTCATTTTTTTTAATATTATTATTACCAATGCAAAAGAAAAAAAAGAGCGCGAGGCATTTGAAAACCTCAGGCGGCTAGAAATAACAAAATGAAATCGTAAGCGTTAGCGTTTTCGAAAACATTTCCGTTAGGCGAATAGCCCCCTGGTCTAGTACGCGAGGTGCCTTAAGCCAGAAACATAATATTAACGTGTAGTGGCGTGACGTGGCGCATTGGTTTCATACATTTATTATGGGTTAGAGAGAGATAGAGAGGTTAAAGCGTCGACACGACACGATACGTAAATATGTCTCTAACCATAGTAAATGTATGAAACCGATGTGCTTCTGGCACGCCACGACACGACACGACACGTTAATATGTTTCAGGCTTTAGGCTTTAGTTGCAAGGAGATCTTTCACATAAATTAACCTTATACGGTTCCAGTTGAGTACAGCCGATTACGCGGTCGAGTACAGGGCTGACGGACAGCTATACGTAACATTGACGTTCCTCTGGAGGGACTGGCGACTTGGGCCTTACTACGCCGTATTTACTAAAGATGAGAACGGGAAGAAAATGGAGCAAAATCTTGATATCATTCATTTAGGTAAACAACCAACGGTATTAAATACCCTAGGTTCACCATGAGCGCTCAAAATGTGTCCCAATCAAGAAGTGCTTGAACTCCACTCAAGGACTTCTTCCCGGTTTTACAGTCACGCGAAGACCGTTAAAAAGTCAAGATGCCACAGAGCTCCGTGCAAAACTGCGATTAAAATACGTATAGTACGTAAAGTGTCGTTTTTTCGACAGGTATCTAATCAATGTTTGTTAATTAAACGTTTTTGAAGCAAATTTTGTTCTAATACTTACTATAAATTGATTTAATAGAAAATATTTGTGATAATCAAATCCATGGTGGGTAATATAGCCGTCTCTTTTCCTCGCGGTCCGTACCTGATATATTGCTAACAGCGCATTCGGAATTGCGCGTGGAGTCAAAAGAATAACGTCTATATTCTTCCACATATAGCAATAAGTCGTAAAATTTTACGAACTAGCATTTCGAACTGTCAGAAGTCTTTGACGCATGCGTTTTAATTAAGACCTTATACAGTATGCATTAACCTCTTATAAGCTAAAGGTCATGCGCCGTTCCCACAGTCAACTTATGACGTCATCCGTCAACCCCCCGCTGGGTGGGAACGATTGCATTGTTTTGTCGATTTCTCTTTTAGTTCGTAAGAATACCCTACACAAACTATATATATTTGGATTCTCCATAAAATTTATTATAAAACAGTGTCTACACAATGCGTCATGTCTATAATTTATTTTAATTACGTAACGGTAAACTCGGGAAAGATAAAAAAAGTCGTTTATATGGGTAAAATAGGGTAAATTATCAAAATTTGTAAATTTTTAAGTCCAGTTTTTTTGGTTATTTGCACATTCTATTATAAATTACCAAATAAAATCATAAAAGACCGTACTCCTACAATTTAATTTTACACTATACGACTAACAATCCGCGCGCCAGATGTGTCGCCCAAACACGCAATAGAAAAAACAGGTGATTTTCAATGTTTTCAATGCCGTATGTTTTTTGACCACGCGATCATCTTACGCAGCTCCGTGGATCGTACAATGTACCTTTTGGACAAGCTTCGGCCACGATTTTGTTCGTGTTGTTGTATCTAGGGTATTCAATGGTGTCAATTCTGGCGTGATTCTCTAAACTTAAAACTAAATTTAACATCAGTCTCTCCTTTTCATTCTGTATAGAGAATGACAGGGATGCACTGTTGTCAAATTTAAGTTTAGCTTTAGAGAATTATGCCAGAATCGACATCAATATCGTTGTAAACAACCAATTGAGCATTGATGCTATAGAGAAGGTGCTATTATACTGTTCCATAGAACGTTTACGCTATCTTAGCTTCCATAAATAGTAATTAGGGAGGATGGGGGAATTACGGACGCTGAAGGGAAATAACGCACAACATTCGTACTATTAGTAATAATTAGTCTGTCTTTATTAATTATTAATCTTTAGTTATCAATCTACAAAAACAATTATACTTATTAAACGAGATCTATCAACAAATAGATTTTTTTTAGCAAAAACAAAACCTTGTCTGTCCGTAATTACCCGTAGCGTTCGGGGTAAATTCGGACTGACCCTGGGTTAATTACGGACAGCATGGGGTATTTACGGACTAGGTCCACATCATTGACAAAAATCACAAGTAAAGCCTTTAGAATAACTTCCTGCAGTGCAGTTCTCATGAGCCCTCTTGTTACACTTTAAACACATAATCCAGTCTTCGGCGTGTGGATCACTGTACTTTTCCTGATAATAAATGCAAAAGTAATCAACATTTCCTTCATTTTCAAAATTATTCAGATTCTTTAAACCCTTTGATCCTTTTCCTGTAGAAAGTTCTGACTTTTTCAACTTATTAGATGTAGTTTTATTTTCTATTTCTTGAGCTTTTCTTTTCTTGTCTAATTTCTTTTGTTCCTTTTCTTCTAGATTCTTTTTTTCCGGGGTGCTGGTAAAAATCATAGAATGCTTTTTGTTTACTGACCGTTACGATGAATTTGTAGAGTTGGGACCTTTATTAAATCACTAAGCGGTACTGATGAAGATTGACTTGTTTGACTTGTCGTACTTTGATTTTCGGACGTCCGTATATACCCCGCAAGCCGTGTCCGCAATTAACCCAACTGGGTATTTTTAAATCAAAGAGAGAAATTTGTAGATTATGAAAACGTTCCATAAAAACAAACATTGGCGATTCAAACTCCATTGACAAAGCTATCCATAGAAAATATCACTTTTTACCATCACTTAGTATACAGACCTGTCCCTCGAATTAAAAAACACTAAAAATTAGATCAATATACACTTTTTTTTTTAATTTTACCTACCTTTCAAACTGTGCGCAGCCGGCTGTCGTAAGTTTTTGCGTGGCATTAAAATAGCGGAAAGAAACAGACGACAGCACCGGGCTGCCGCGGGTGGAGGGAATGAGTAGATACTTGCTAGTCCGTATTTACCCCGCGTCCGCAATTCCCCCACTCTCCCCTACTAGCAAACCAGTGAACCAAATGTTCACCAAAATATGATTTAAAAAAAAAGTATTTAATTAATTGAGAACTTCGGAGATTTTGTGTGGTTTCGTTTGAAATTCGTGATTTCTCGAAAACCGGAAGTGCTACGTTACTCAAATCCGGTTTGTAGTCTTATCAGACTATTCTTAACTTATAACTTAAACATTCTCTTTATCTATCTCTTACGGTTTGGCCGCTGAAACAGCACCACAGACGGACGGACGGACGGATTTGTCTAATAGATAAGAGATTTTTAGACCCAGTAACATTAATGAAGCTGAAACTGGCAGACATTGTAGCAGACACAGCCAGCAGCGGATCGTCACAAAACGTATTTCTGACAGAAATTTTCTGTTTTTACGCTACTTTCAAGTACTTTATATAGCCAAGGCGAAATTTTAAAAATACTTTTCAAAAGCATGATCGTTGGTTTTTGTCGTAAAATTCGTTTATGTTAACTTTTTCACCTTGCCACTACCTGGAAATAGCGTTAGGTACCCTCGTAAAAATAACTTCATTGCTTTCCTTTACTTTTAAATAAATAAGAAAAACTAAAATAGTTGCCAAATATATGTTTTGTGACGGACCGTCACGGATGTACTGGATGTGTCTGCTACCATCTCTGCAGTGGCGGGGCAAGACCTAAATTTGATGTGGGCAAGACAGATTTCGTGAGGCCCTGTTCTGTGGCGACGATAAAATAATTAAAAAAAAAAATCGCTTTTAAGCAATGCATAAAAATTTTTGAGGCGCGAGGCCCCTCGTACCGCGATGCCGTAGGCGGTGGCCCACGTCGCCCACGCCTTACGCCGCCTCTGCGTCTCTGCTAGTTTTAGCATTATTTAACATTATTTTACCGTTTATTATATAATAAAAAAAATACCAGCCCCCTAGCATGAGCCCCGCGATATAGTATATAATGCGTTTTTATCACGCTCAATTGTCAAATTACTATGGAGTTTGACAGTTAGACGCGATAAAAAACGTGATATAATGTAAATTGTGGTGCTCATGCTACGGGGACAGGTTCAAATTATATAGATATCCTTCGTGGTGGAGCAGTACTATTTACACCGGTTTTCAAGTTGTCACCTGCTTAGAGTACTGTTAACGCCATCTATCCTTCGGTGAGAGAATCTACAATCGGTCCATCATCATCGTCTATTCATACATTCTACATTCACTCATTTTGATTTATATACATTCACTCTCCCTCTTGCAATTCGAACTCAAAAAAGACAACGTACGCACATAATTTCAATAAGATTTGTATTTTACTATGAATAATCTCTTATCTATTAGACAAGTCCGTCCGTCCGTCCGTGGTGCTGTTTCAGCGGCCAAACCGTAAGAGATAGATATAGAGAATGTTTAAGTTATAAGTTAAGAATAGTCTGATAAGACTACAAACCGGATGTGAGTAATGTAGCACTTCCGGTTTTCGAGAAATCACGTGATTTCTATTTCAAACGAAACCACACAAAATCTCCGAAGTTCTCAATTAATAAAATACATTTTTTTTTGTGAACATTTGGTTCACTGGTTTGCTAGTAATCTATAATTTGAATAAACGATTTTTATTGAGAAATCCACATACAGAAGACACTAAGCTATCGAACAAGTACTCTTGAGTTCGAATCCCGGTGGAGCAAAATGACGTTGGTCCAGAAGCACTGCTGGCACACCCGAAGTGTGGAAACACTTAAGGGGGTGCAGTGTAGCAGCATTGTTTTCTTGTCCCTCCCTCGGGAACCTAACACTTTTTCGGTATAAGAAGTATGCATTGTCTCAATCCAGGTTATAAACTATATGCGTACCAAACATCGAAATCCGTTAAGTAGTTTTTGCGTGATTGAGTACAGTACCCTTAGTACGAGTTTTACAATTACGAAAACTATGATAGTTTTCATGAGCTCGCACTCGTACTAAGGGTACTGATTTTATTGTTTTCGTTTCAATACAAATGCACAGTGTTTAAAAGCTATCATTACATCATGTGTCTTCTTAAATTTTAAGTTTATTTGGTTACTTTTCACCAAAATGGACATAGAAACATAATTTACAATTACGAAAACTATGATAGTTTTCTTGAGCTCAAACTCGTACTAAGGGTACTAAGGGTCGCGGCACGAACGCTGAACAAAACGCGTCAGGAATAGCAGCGCATGGGTACGACTGGTGAGCCAATCGGCGCAACGCACACCCGCCCGCACACCTCGTTTCCCCCCAACACATCTTAATTTTTACTTCTGCGCAATAACGGTCAGCGCTAGAGTTTCGTGTCGAGAATTGTAACAAACATCGAACTGGTACAATTTAAAGCTAGCTTGTTCGCTTACAGAGAAATCAACAATTCGAATATCAAGATTAAAACAGCTGAACCTCACAGCCGGTCAGCGTATTGATATTCAGTACATAAAGTACATGTGTGCCACCAAATGTGAACTGACTAGAATATTAGTGAGGACCAAAGAGAACAAACTGTTCAACCTGGATCCAGGCCGTTACAGAGTCATCGAGAAGGTCAGGTGAGTGTACTTAATACTCTTTCATCATCATCAGCCTATTAATGTCCACACTACTGGGGCCCATCCCAGTACTTCTTCTTATTCTTCGATCTTACTTACTAGCGGATAGAAAGAGCATTTGTACACACATACTCACGTACCAAGGGCGGATCCAGCTTTGGCGCCAGGGGGGGGTCATATAGCCAGCTTTGGCTCCAGGGGGGGGGGGTCATATAGTCGTGGTATATTAAATATTGAAAGTACTTAAATAAAATCCCTCTGGGTTTGGTCCATCTGTACCCAGCCCAGGGGGGGGGGGGGAGCATGGGGGTCATGACCCCCATGACCCCCCCCCCCCCTGGATCCGCCCTTGTCACGTACACTCGTAACACTCACGCACATGCACACACACGAACACGCACGCACACAAACAGACACACACTCAACCGCTTATATAAAATATACATTTTATATAATTATAATTGATTTTTTTATAATGTTTTTAAAATGTAATGAAATAAAATTAAGACCTTACCATAAGATATATTATTAATGATGCTATGGAAGAGCGGTTCCTTCTGGTACAGGTGTTAAGCACTTAATAGAAGGAACCCACCCTGGTTTGGTGTATAACAAATGTGGTATCGTAATAAACTATTTTGATTTTGATTTTTTTTGACTTCTCTATGGATAGCATAGACAGAACGGGTGTGATTCACCACGGGGCTACTATTTGTGGGAGCTAACAACTGCAGATGCAGCTGGGATCAACGGATTGACGTACCTTCCAAAGCCCGGAGCAGCGAGAGACAATAAATTTTGGATCACCTATCTAATGACCGACCACTGCGAAAGTCCTTTTGATGCTACGGGATCAATGAGGGCTATCGCGTATGAATCCGCCGCTAGAGGCGCTAGTGTAGCGTGAGGTCTCCGAAATGTCAAATGTTATTGCTTGTTGGTTGACTACGCGGGTTTATTTCTTATTAAAATAATGTTGTGAATAATTGGTAACAATTCGGCTTAATTATGGCAAATATGAGTTATGTGGCAATGAATGTCAGTTATTAAAAATTTGAGCTTAGAAAAATGATTATGTTCCTATTTTTTCTGAATAAAACGGAACTGGGCGTCACTGTGGCATGTCCTATTATGTTTAGGATATGGTTCTTTTGTGTTAAAATACGATCTGTAAATCTTTGATTTCATGTGCATATTAATAAACTTTAAAAGTTACAATTTAGGATCTCACTCAACAGTGGCGCCATCTGGTGAGACAGAAAACGGTAGCCCTCATTGCTAGAGATCAAAATTTGAATTGTATAACTCAAACATACGTTTGAATGTCATTTGGTAAAATAAAAAGGTTTTACCACGTCCGAGTATATACATGTTATAGACTGCTACGGTGTATCACGATAATATTATTCATTGTTCTTACACTACAAAAAAGGTACTTACAAGCAATGTAAAACATGCACTCCTGCGCTACGCACCGTAGCGTGTGGCAGTGTGCGAATCGCCTAAGTGTCGCCGCACTCGTGCCACCGACCACAACCTCAAAACGCCGCCATCGGCATATTTCTTGTAGTTTTCATACATTTTATATGGACTCGCCACACACGGTACGCCGCGCCGGTGGCCGCCACACGCTACAAATCGTCGTTGCACGCTTCTTGTGGCCCGCACCGGCCACTTAATGCGCCGATACAAAACACCGCCACACGTCACTCGCGCGATTCCCCACCCCTCTCCCCCTTACCTTAGTCGGCCGCAGTCGCGCGCTTCAGCTATTTTAGCAGCCGCTTCTAGCTTCTCGTGGCGGCGTTTGTGGCTGTGGCGTGTAGCCCGTGTGCGGCGACACTAAGGCTCAACTCACACCAAAAGAGCGTCGAAGCGCAGCGAAGCGGAGCGCAGATTCAGTGTCATATGAATTTTAACTTTATTTTCATTACTATAATACTTATTATCGCATGAGAAACTCGAACGACTCCCGCGGCGCCGCGGGAATTCCGACGAATTCCATAAGCGCGCCTTCTCTACCGAGCGGGTCGCTGCGCTTCGCTGCCCTTCGCCGCTCTTTCGGTGTGAGTTGAGCCTAAAAGTCGCGCATATTCCGTCAAGCATCTCAATGTCAGTATTTGTTTGGTTGCAGGTCAAACGTCATTGAGATAGATTTGCAAACTCTGAAGCCTGAAGACGTAGGCGTCTACTACGCAGACTTTCGCACCGACGACAACAACGAAGAGATGATTCAGATCATCCAACCCCCATGTAAATAAATCCTATTATCCTATAGGTAGTAGCAACATAGAGGTATAAGAATAGATTAGGGGAGATATAGACTATACTACAAGTGGAAGTGTCCCTCTAATAGAAAGAGAAGGAAGATGAGAGGCCGCTAGCTTTCTCTCTCTAATCGCGCATGCGCATTGGCAACCGTAAGCATCTTACTATGTCGATGTGATGCCATTGGATGCCATGCGTCACAAGCGAGAGATAGCTAGCGGTCTCTTATCTTCTTTCTCTTTCTACTAGACGGACACTTTTAGAGCCGCCTTCCCCATTCTATTCTTATACCTCTATGGGCCTCACCCAGTGCCTTTGCCTCAGGCGGGGTGCCACCTGATGGTGAAACTTGCGCCCGACGAAGTGACGGCCCACTGGTGAGGTGAGGGGCATTGTCAGGTTTTTAGTGGGTAGGGCCCCCCTCTTCTCGAACGGCTGCTGGACCTGTCCTTGGATAGGCTGAGCGGTGGGGAGGGGGGGGGGGGGGAGGAGTTCCACATTAACTCGCCGTCTTCTCAAGGCGGTGGGGTGTGCGTCACGCATTTTCCTGACGATAAAAAAAGTCATCCTTGTTAATGGTCGATGCTGAAAGAATTTTGCCGAGGTGTATACTAATATACTTTACTTGGCTATTTGTGTTTGTGTTTGTTTGTAAACTTGACATCAGTCTGTCCTTTTCATTTCTTAAAAACATGATAAGGACAGACTGATGTCAGGTTTACAAATAGCAAATACCTACGAATTGTCAAATGAAGTGCCGACAATAAATAGGAATGTGTTCATGTTTGTAAACTTGTACGTTTGTAACGCAATCATGCAAAAACTACTGAGCGTGTTTGGGTGAAATTTGGTACGCACATACTATACTTTATGAATGGGACATAGACTACTTTTTATACCGGATTTTTTTTGGGTTCCTGTGAGATTCTCGATAAACTAAAGTCTACGCGGAGGAAGTCGCGAACGGCCGCTAGCATTATAAATATGATTGTTTGCATATTTGTAGATTTGTACATTTGTTAAGAAACGTCTGAACGGATTTGGATGAAATTTCAAATGAAATTTGAAAGAAGAATCAATTGGGAGATAGTGTAACAAAAATAATATCTCTGTATTATATATCCGGCCATTTTGATGTTTGATGACAGCTGCTTAAGATAGCGGACTAAGGCCCGTATTACAGAATGACAACTAAGTGTTGATCTTTACTTGAGTACAGTTGGAAAGGGATGTCGCTATGTGCTATATATAGCGACATCCCTTTCTAACTATGCTCAAGACTAGATAGATCACTGAGAATCTTTCTATAATACGGGCCTAAGAAACTAATAAAAACACACCAAAGGCAAAAATAAGAATAGGGTAGAGATATTCTTTTTTTTAACACTGCCCCTAACTTTGCCCAGTGTGGATTTGTGGTTGGTATATAAATATTTTTAACATATTTGTTTCTTAGGTTTTCACGCACATCACTCATTAAATAAAACTAGTTTTTAACGGCGTAGAACTATGTGTGCTACATACACTGCAAGACCAACAGATACTATTAGTTCTTTTTGTTTGCATAATTTAACATTAGAAGGAGATAGAAAGCCTCTCTTGAGTTTGTTTCGCCGGTTCTTCTCAGAAAGGTCTCCCAATTTTGGAACCGGTGGTAGTTTACGGTAGTTAGGGTCAAATAAATAAACTCAAAATAACAAAAAAGAATTTTAAACAAAGTACTTTATTAACTAAATTAAGTAATAAATTCATACGTAGACAACAAAACTTTAAAAATCGAACAATGAATTAACCGAACGCTCAATAAAAGTCTTTCGAAGGTAGCTCGACAAAATTAAATAAATTTATTCCGATGAAGCAGCCTGTAAAGGCTGCGAAACGTCAATAAATAAATAAAGTTTCGTGCATTAACCCGTGAAAACTAGTTTTATTTAAATGTTTTTAACTTCGTTCGAACCGAGTGTTCCACGACACTCACGCAGTTTTTTTTCTAGTAAAACTTTAGATTGAAAAAGACATGTAGCAGTTAAATGCTTAAAACAAAAATATGTAAAAAGTGTTACTTAATAACGCATACAAATTTTCAGTTAAGCAATCAGATACCGGTAAGTGGGTTACATTATGAAATCTAAATGATTATAAAAATCAAAATATAATATGCAAGATTTGATTAGATCCATCCAAACTGCCGTCCAAAATGGGTCTGGTAAAACTTAAAAAAACATCCTACAACCTCCATCATACAGAAAACCACACCGAAACATACACAGTGAAAAGTGAAAATTTATTTCTGCGTTCAGCCGCTCTGACGCGGCGGTAGTCGACCGCAGAAAACGCGATCTCGGGAGTTTTGAAATAAAACAGCTCAGCCGCGCCGTCCGCGGCGGGTGCGGCTAAAACCGCTCCGTGAGTTCATAGCCCTTTTTAAATACCTTTTTTTTTAACGGTGAGAAATCCCTTGACGGACCGTACCGTGCGCTGGCGAGGCGCACGGCGTGTGTGGGACTCACCCGGCGCGGGACACAGCGCCAGTCCTACCCACTAAGGCCCTTTTCACATACACACGGTCACGGCACGGCCGCCATGCCGTGCAACCGTGCTAGCTCTTTCACATGTATACGGCTTACACACGGTCGCCGGCTATGGATGTTGCAGTATTATCGAGAATTTTGGGGAACGACGACGTCTATTATCATGGAACAAAAAAAAATTCTTTTCATTATCACCTAATTCTTCGAAACTACTATTTAATCCTATACATACTTCCTTTTGTCTCGTTCCTGTTTTTATAAGACGCGATGGTTTTATCCCATAAAGTAGGACGCGCTTCAACTAGCGAAATCAACACATCAACATCGATTTCGACAGACATTCTGTAACAGTCGTCCGTCCGTTCCCCTATGACTTTAGCTGACGAATGGTATTTGCGCTCGCCGTACCGTACCGCGCCCGTGTTCATGTGAACGCGTCTATACAAGTCCATACAATACTATAAAGACGGTTGCCGCGTCAAAACCGTGCTTATAGTGGATAAGGACGGCTGACACGCGGTCACGGCACGGTCGCCGTGCAATGTGAAAGCTCTCATTGTTGCTCATACATTACTATTTTACACGGCACGGCAACCGTGCCGTGTCCGTGTACATGTGAAAAGGCACTTAAACTCACCAGTACCCTCCTACGCCCATGTGGAAGCGTCTTGGGATCGGAGCACCTCTGTGTGCCCCATTTCACCGGGACGGGCCCAACGAGTGGACCGGGCGACACGCCTCTGGGGGATTGCGCTAGGGTTCGGCCGCCCATCTAGCCCTTTTTAAATACCTAGTAGTTATGTGACGACCTCCGTGACCGAGTGGTTTGTACGCCGGGTTTCATGATGTCGCCGACTCGAGAGGTCCCGGGTTCGAATCCCGGTGGGGGCAGATGTTTGTGTGATGAATACGTGCATTTGTACTCCAGTCATGGATGTTTATTATGTACTTCTATATAAATATACTTATATATGTACAGTATATGTATTCTTTCCATTACCCTAGTATCCCATAACACAAGCCTTATAGTGCTTTGGGGCTAGGCTAATTGGTGTGTGTGTTGGAAATATTAATTTATTTTATGTTTCTCAAAAAAAAAATATACTAGGATAATTTTGTTGATTTCAGCTATTCCCGGTAAGTTAATCACAATTCAATTAAAGTTAATATGTATGTAGTTACTCTACCAAAACACCTGTTAGGTTAATTTGAGCTTCTTATCCACAAACGTAGTATTCATTTGGGACGACATATACATAGCGTCCCACGCCTACCTCACACGGAGGGAAAGTATATTAAATATTGAAGATAGGATATTTTACTGAAAGAAGACATCATTTTATTTTTAACTAGTGCATTAGTTAGTTAAAGTTAAACAACTTTCGCAGTGCTCGGTCATTGGATGGGTGACTGCAAATTTACTATCTCGAGCTTCTCTCTGCTTCGGAAGGCACGTTAAGTCGTTGGTCCCCGTTAAGTACTCGCGTGGTCGGTCACGGCCCATTTTACTTATTCCATCCATAGGGGCAGGCTTGTGCCGCAGTGCAGTGGGGACATTAATAGGCTGATGATGATTTCTAATGTTTTCTTCCAGAGGATTGTCTTGATGAACATCTCACTACGTACATGATGTCCGGTCATTTCTTCGTCAAATTACCACCACGTCGCTACAAAGTTTTGCCTGGATATAAATTTTTCGTACTTACCTACAATCTGCCGAGTTATACCAATAAGGTGAGGAACATTGTATCATTTTGTACTTAATGTTAATAAATGCACCAAAGGATCATGCACATTATGTCGCGTAGTAGCGGGTCGGGTTGCAGCCTTAAATTAAAACAAAAAGGGTAGATACGGCACTCGCGGCTCAAAAGCGATCTGCTTAAATTGTGGTGCATCAACACAATTCGCTTTAGTCACAATTAGACATTCAAACACGCTGCATGTGCACTCAATATATATTGCGTATATTATGTCTTAAAAAGATAAAACAATGCCTTCGATGCTTCTATAAAGAACACAAATAGTTCAAGATCAAATAACTTTAATGGCAACACTTCATTCGTAAAACTAGGATACCATTTTTTTTTTCAAAAAATCACGGTTTGTCATGAATGATTGTTACAAATGGCGAAAAAGTAAATAACATTCATGACAAATGAAAAGACAACAATCCAGCTCAACCGTTTGTAGAGAGAGAAAAAAACGCAGTCGCCAAGCCAAGCGACGCTGACGCGCCGTGAGTTGTAGTTGAGTTGGATCATATTTTATCAACGATATAATACCCCCGATATAACGATACCCCATACACACCACGAGCGCTCGAAATGTGTCCCAATCAAGAAGTGCTTGAACTCCACTCAAGGAGTTCAAGCACTTCATGATATAAGGTTCACAGTCACGTGCGGACCGTTACAAAGTCAAGATGCCACAGAGCTGCTCGAAAAAATGCGAAAATAATAGTTAGAGTACGAAAAGTGTCGTTTTTTCGACAGGTATCTAGTCAATGTTTGTTAATTTAACGCATTTGAAGTAAATTTTGATCTAATACTTACTTTAAACTGATTTAATATAAAATATTTGTTATATTCAAATGCATGGTCGGTTATCCGTCGCCATATAGCCGTCTCCTTTCCTCGCAGTCCGTGCCTGCTGTATTGCTTACAGCGCGTAGAGTCAATGAACTAAGGTCTAAATTCTTCCGCATATAGTAATGTCGTAAAATTTTACGAGCTTGCATTTCGAACTGGCAGAAGTCCTTGACGCATGCGTTTTTTTAAGACCTTATAGAGGATGTATTAATGGTTACTTTCAATATTTAAATAATGCCTTATATTGATTTTTATTAGGCGATCATCTTACAGAGCTCCGTAGATCGTTCAATGTACCTTTTGGACAGGTTTCGGGCACGATTTTGTTTGTGTTGGTGTATCTAGGGTATTTAAAATCGTTGTATTTTATTTAATGCTAGTATGTGCGTCCCGTATCTTCCCTTTTTGTTTTAATCGTAGTGCAAAAATCCACTCAATTTGTTCGTATATGTATTTTATATTAACTATCGCACACTATGCCGGGGCGCATAATTATAATTATATAATTCACCTATTCTATACAGTACCTAGGCAATGTACTTGTTAAAATCACGTACCACAGATTTAGATTTAAAGATAATATTGTTTTAATGACAGAGCAGTTCCGAGGCTAGCAGTGAACCTCTCAAAAGCAAACGTAGTGGCGGCGGCGGAGTGAAGCTAAGCAGTTTAAAGGTAAGTGACAAAAATACTTTTTCTCAAACATGCTTGGAAATGTGAGCATTATTTTGACAACCTTCGTCGAAATAAATCGAAATTACATTACTGGCCAAAAACATGCGATCAGTGACCAGCAAAAGTTGTATGAAAATCTATATCTCCCGTGGTTTAGCACCCAAATGAATACAGATCTGTCGTGTTATTTAAAAATGGAATATTCTCTTACTCCAAAACATGGCAACCAAAGAGGTATCTTATCAAAGGTTTCATTTAAAATTCGAAGTGGCTTACAAAAAGAAAGCTGTTTATTGAAAAAAAAACAAATGAACTCTTTAACAAATAACAAATGATTGTTGTTCGTTATTCGACATTGGTTTTGAAAAGTAATTATTTAGTTTTAATTACATACAAGCAAGCGATTTATACAGACCCTGGCCAAAACTATGATGGATCAATGCCTCTTTTGCTGGCCGCTGTAGTATTGTACTGTTATTAATATAACTTCTCGGAAACAACATTTTTTAATGTAGTAGAATGTAAAATTATTGGGAAAAAATCTTTTCTTTTATGTATCAACTTGTAATAAAATCTCTTTGGCTATACCATTCGTATCTGGCTGGTTTTGGTATTATTAAAAAGTTTAAATTTTAAAGAAGATAATTCCAAATTCAAATTAAAGAAGTGTGTGATTTTAATTTATTTTTCTTACTGTCAAGATGAGTGAATCTAATAAAGAAATTCAATATTTTTTAAATAAATAAATATAAATATTTTATTAGTATCGTAGGTACAGGTAAACCTGCCGCACCAGTTATATAATTGCGTTTGGACTGCATTGTCACTTAACATTAGGTGGGGAGTATAGTCATTTGTCGGAGCTTAATAAAAAAAAAATATAATGCAACGCGAATGTTTAAAAATCCATTTTTATATTGTCAATTAAGTTTAACAGTGTCTAAATAAATAATAACCTGTGACTATTACAGTTGTCTTCGGGCAGGGTCAACCACAACTACAGCGCTGATGGCCTTTCCGTCACCCTGAATCTGGAATTCCGCTATCGCACATTTCGTCAGGGACGTGGGGACGTGCTAATTGTTAAAGATGGAATATATCTGGCGTATCCCTACGTGAATTTCAGTAAGGAAACAGTTAAGAGAGATGCCTCATTATTCTTCTTCATCTTTTGAAGTGAAAACTTCTTTAGCGGCGTTGTACACTTTTTTTTGTATGGGTAAAAAATGTTAAACTCGCGTCAGGTTAAACACGTGGACTGATCGCATCATGACACACAATAAAATTGGTAAGGTATTGGTATATTTTATTTTACCGTATTATAATAACAAGTGTCTATCTAGGACGTCCACGTGGCAGTTTTATTGCGAAGCAAAAGGCATTTTTTTTACAATAGATGTCGCTAGGTGCGCTTAAATGTGATTCATGTAAGTTGATTTTTCTGAGAGGTAAACTTTTTTTAATGTAATATAAATTGTTATGTTTGTGTACGATTGCGCATTAAATAAATATTGTATTGTACCACATACATGATAGTACTTTTATACTGATAATTAAAGCAATTCGTGCAAAATTATTCCCTAACCATTCCAAAATATCAAAAATGCACAAAGTTAATATTCAAGTTTTCACTTCTGCTCTCTCCCTTACCTTAGTCGGCCGCTGTCGCGCGCTTCAGCCACTTTAGTAGCCGCTTCTAGCTTCTCATGGCGGAGTTTGTGGCTGTGGCGTGTGGCTCCGTGTGCGGCGACACTTATGGTTACAGAAGTTATCTGAGATGGGAGCTCCAATTCGAGAGGTAAACCTATTATGCTCTGATTCTATTGACATTTTTGATATTCCGATTGCAGAAAGAGCGACTGTCCAAATACCGGACATCAAATATCTGAACCTTACGGCTGGCCAACGTGCCGAACGCCAGCTTGTGGAATACCACTGTGAGAAGTGTGAGCTGCTCCGAATAGTGGTGTATACATATGATGTCAACTTGTACTACTTGGACACTGGTCGCTACAGAGTCACGGAGAAGAATGAGTGAGTGTAAAAGGCCCATTTTTTGTAATCTCTCTTGTTCGATTTTGTTTTTCAAGTGATAACTTCTTATGGGAGGTTTTACCGCTTCGTTGCGTAACGCGTTACGGTGCCAGTATGTCTGGCTTCCCTTCGCCGTGAAAAGTAGATAGACGCCACAGCCCGCCCAGGTGTCGAAGTGTGGTGAAGAGCGGTGTCCCCAGACCCACCCCACTCCCTCACCCATCAATCCCCACTATCACACACCAATCCTTTATTATCATCCAACAATCCCCTTATCACACTCGATTCCCTTTTCAACCTCGAATCCCCTTTGCAGAAAGAGCCACTATCCAAATACCGAACATCAAATACCTGAACTTCACGCCGGTCAACGTGCCGATGGCCAACTTGTGGAATACCACTGTGAGGAGTTCCACTGGCTAGTGGTGTACACCACATATATTTCTACACTAGTAGTGATGTGTATGATAATGGTGTATACATAATATGTAGGTCTAAATGGAACTATAATTAAATCCTTAGATACAAAAACTCCTACCAATACTTAGGTATTTAATATTATACATGTGAAAGATTGTATGTTTGTCAACGACGATCACGATAAAGGGCTGAGCGGATTTGGATGACATCTGGCACACATATAGGATACCTTTTATCCCAGAAAAGTGTGCAATTAAAAATCTAAACGACTTTGCTGCAAACTATAATTTAACTTTAGCAAAACCTATTCTTGAAACTAAGAAAAATGTATTGCATTTTAGTACAAATTACTAACTTTAATAAACCTTAAAAACAATATAAATAGGCTTTCTTCCAAAAAGTATCTTTATCTTAAAAAAGTATTTAGAAAATACGTATCTCGTATCTAGTATTTCAAATACTTTTCCAAAGGTATCTTGTATCTGTTATCTAAATACTTGACTACCTAGTATTTTGTATTTTAGATACTTTTTGTAGGGTATTTATTACATCTCTGGGACTTTGGTAAGCTTTATCTATCCCCCACGACAACGGCTAACTAGAGCCGAGGTTCGAGTCTCAGAAACGGTCTAGAGGCTTTAGACAGAGAGGAGACTCCCCCCGTGGGGAGATGCCATCCGCCTGGAATACCTCTAGAGGCACTCGCCAATTCTCGGCTTGAAATCCCCTTAGGATCTCGCCGTCCCCAAACCCGGTGAAGCTGTAAAGGTCACCTGCGACAAACAGCATATTCACTAAAAAATAAATATGGTATGCTTTACATTTGGCTACATTATAAATCTTTTGTTGCAGGTCCAAAGTAATTGAGATAGATTTGTGTACGGTGAAGGAAAAAGACATTGGTTTTTATTATGCAATCTTTCGCACAGATGCCAATGAAGAAGAGAAAATTCAGATTATGAGATTCAATAACGGTAGGTATAGATTTTACTTTTCAACATAAAATATTTCATTTGGGGTTATTTCTGTAGAACTTGAAATTATATTGTTTTAAACTTTCATGGTCACTAACATTATAGTAATATAAGTTATTTACGGGATTGTTACCATGTACCTTGTTTTTAGCGAGTTTCCGATATTTCGGCACTGTTGCAAGCGCCATGATCACGGAGTAACTGAAGTAATTGCGGGTAGGCTTTTATTGGCAGACATATCGGTATACCCTCCAACGAAGTCTTTTATTGCGTTCGATACCCGTACCACTGTTCACATTCTCACTATTCACTCGAAACTGTTCTCGACACACAACACTTACAGTATCGGATCGGGACACGAGACTTTTTTGATTATTTCCGGTTTTACACATACGAACCACAGGATTCCAGACACTCGACAATTTAAACCCGTCCTCACGATTGAAATTTTTATGTTTTGTTATTTCAATCGCTTCCCTGACCAATCTTGGTATGTAGTGGCGTTCTGTCGAGATAATCTGTGGGTTATGAAACTCAATCCAGTGGTTAGAACCAGAATCAATCAAATGTTCCGCGATGGCTGACTTCTGCGTATTCGCTAAAAACAAGGTACATGGTAACAATCCCGTAAATAACTTATATTACTATAACTTGAAATTAGAGCCTCCGCTGCCTTAAGCGGGAGCACGGGGTGGACAAGTTCTCTCTAATGTTAATGTTATTGTATCGTGTCGTCACTAAACCGGTTCCAATGGAAGACCAGCGCTGATGGCAACATCAGCATCATGCTGAGTTGGGACCGATTGCTGATGCTGAGATGGAGACAAAAAAAAATGGTTGCCTGTAAAGTCGGTTTTACGGGCGAAGATTTTACGTGACAACGTCTTTTTCTCGGTAGAATATTTATTGATATGAATATAATTAAATTGCACAATAGGAACAAGGAATTGAATGAAAATAAGAATTGCACAAATTTTAACTATAGAAATATATTTTGTTTACTAAAACATTGTACATGTAAACTTAAACTTAACACGAGAGACTCATCGTAACGTTACCGAGCGTTACACTTTTTCATAAGTGACTCCCAGCCGCAACCTAATTTAAGACGTTGTCACGTCAAAATATGTGTATGTTTTGTTTATATATTCTTTTACTGTTGTTTTGTCTCTAATAAGAAAGAAAGAAAGAAGGAAAAATGTTTTTATTGCTGACAACACATAACATACACATAAAAATACAAAAAATACATTTAACATAAAGTAAAACAAAACGTACAAGTAAAGTTAACAACAAAAAAAACAATATATATATAAGGATATAGCTCAGCATACACAGCAGGTAAAGTTCCTACTGCAATGGTATTCTGATATTTAAAAACATATATATTCTTTTATTTTCTTTCTTTTTTTTCTCTCGTAGTGGTGCCAGTACTAGATCTCGATAGCGCAGATGAACAGTCGATAATTACATCACACTAATATTATAAAGGCGATAGTTTGTGCGTGTGTGAGTGTGTATGCTCGTTACTTCTTCATGTCTAAACGGCTGGAGCGATTTTAGTAAAATTTAGCATGGAGCTGACACTCCGGATTAACACATAGGCTACGTTTTACTGCGGGAAAATATCCCTAATAAACAACGGGTAACACCGCGGGGCATGGCTAGTGGATCATATTTGTTTATAATACTACCTAGCCAAAAGAAGACGTAGACGAGCACAGAAGACAGTCAATCGAAGAGGAGGCCCGCCTAACGTAGCGCTGCTCTATGAAATGAAATGAAATAGCACGCGGGGCGGACGTCCACTCCGTGCTCGCACTTAAGGCAGCGGAGGTCCTTACTCATCATCATCATCAGCCTATTAATTACCCACCACGCGGGCCCAGTGCGGATTGGCGGGTAGTAACGACTGCAGATGCAGCCGGGACCAACAGCTTAACGTGCCTTCCGAAGCACGGAGGAACTCGAGATAGAAGATTTTGGGTCACCCATCCAATGACCGACCACTGCGAAAGTTGCTTAACTTCAAAGATCGCAGGCGAAAACGCTAACCAGCGCTTTTACTGCACAGTAAAATTTCAAAGGTGTTTTTATACCTCTCTTGTTTTCGTGAAAGGCAATATTGGCGGTGGTCAGAATTGTACCCTTAGCACGAACCATTATCGAATTCGAATAGTTTGCGAGTCCGAAATGTCATTTTCAAATTTGGTATGAAAACGTGAACATCAGCGCCATAACGTACGTAACGATAACAAAAATCAGTACAATCAGTCTCAAACAGAATTCTCAAACTTAATTAATCATTCTCACGAAGTATCTGTATATATCTATTATTTACTAAGTCTATTTCCTATAACAGTAGTAATAAATTATTTTTAGTTTAATTTTTAATGCACTTTCTGTTTCCCGCTAAGTTTTGAATCTCCGACACCACCTAGGTTGGCTGGAAGAGATCTCTTTTAGAGATAAACCCACCTTTGCTTACTATATGTTTTAAACTATATGATGCAATAAAGAGTATAATAATACAAATTTGAAAATGATTTTCGTACTCGTAAACAATACGAATTCGATATTACTTCGTGCTAAGGCTACTGTATTTAAGTCTTGTAGTTACTTTTTGGAAAACTAATCTGTAAATAGGGAAGGCTTTTAATTGCTTCAACTAGAATGAAAAATAATAGGGTATTTGACAAGTTTTAGGAAACGATCTCACGTTATTGACTAATGTTTATGGCGTCCGTAAAAAGTGGATATTCATCATTCTGTTGTGTAATTCAGTAAAAATAACCAAATCAAAAACTCCATTTCAAGTTGCCGCGAAAACGTTTCTCTAGACAATATGGCGTCTTACTAGTGTGTGACGTCACACGACTGTTACTAAAACGTCAAACGATACAATGTAATGTCACTTTACCGGTTGAAGTTTATTTTAGGCTCCGCAAATCCCAAGCGTTTTGGGTCACGTGACAATGTATAAGAAAAATATTAGCTTTTTCGAGGGTTTTTAGTAAAATTATGTTTTTTTTTTGTAAAAATAGTTAAAACCCCTGCCAATATTCAATCTAAACACAAATGCTAACAATTGGCACATTATTTTTAATACTGTCAAATACATTATTGTAATAAAATAAGTATTCGTAGGATTTAACAAAAAACTCTAACTACCAGATGTCTATATTTTTCTTTCCAGTTGCCGAACCAGGTTCAGTATGATAATTTTATCAGTTTTTTTATTTAATTTATCTACTATATTATTTTTGCTACCCTTTCGGAAACAAAATGAAGAAATGTTAGTACCTATGTGTAACAAAAGCAAGGCTTGTTCTCTGATTACATTATTTATATAATTTGCCGAAAAATTATGAGTATCTTACAATATAATTAAGATAGGTAGGTTAGGTTAGACAATATAACACGTCAATATTATCTAATATATAACAAGACTGTACAGTAAACTTTGCAATATACTCCATGTATACTCAGACACTAATAACACATAATAACACTATATAAAACTTTATAAAAATCTGTACTAATATAAAAAAGCTGAAAAGTTCGTTTGGTTGACCGCTCTAATCTCAGGAACTACTGGGGACCATTCGCC